AATGTCTGGGAAATTAACACATCAAACAGAAAATAAGCAATAGAATTATAAATGAATTTTAGACTTCTTGACTTCTTGTCTTTTAAGTTATAAAATTTATTAAGTATATATTTAATAGGCCTCACCACAAACCATATGTACTATCCACCACATGCTTCAATGATTAAATGGTGCTTCAAGTTCAAATACGAAGTTGTTTGTATTATGTTATCAATAATATTAAAACAGATAAAATACTTTTATTTTTTGTTAAAAATGAGATGCAGACAGACATGAAATGCATAGTATAAAGTTTTCCTTTGGATGTTACATGAAAAAATTTAAGAATTTTCTAAATTATTTCTTTTTTTTTTCTAAGTTATTTCTTAAGGAGTAAATATATCACCTTATCGGTATAAGACTGGATGATATATGAGGATGACTTACCTAACTACATGTTGCTTGATCTTTACAATTTTATTTGTCTCACAAAATCTTTTATTACTGACTCTGAGTTCAATGGCTTTAAATATATAACAGTCTGAGATTTCTTAAATGCTATCACTGCTTTTATAGGCCATATTCAATTACTTGATACCTTATACTCTCAATCCAGCTTTGTAAATGTCTAGAAAATATTAAAGTTATCATTTCAGTCAAACTATTAGGTTGTATGAAATTTTCTTGAATATAAGATAAATATTTGATTTAGACTTACTGTCTGTATATTTCTTCACAAACTGCAGAAAGGTTTGGACAGCAGATTTGAGAGGAAGCATAAAAGTAATAAATAAAGAACAAATTTTGGCCTTACAATTGATATATTTTGGATTATTTCCAAGGAAATTTTATTTGGACAAAAGTTTTCAGGAGACAGAAGGTCTTTAAAATTGCTGAGTTAAAAAAATTACCAATCCAGGGAATTTTATGAAAACGTATCTTTTGTCAGTATATTCACATTATTTAATAAATGAAAACAAATAAAAACTTTACAAAAAGAGTAAAACAACCAGAACTAAGCTCTACTGCTTATTTTTTCTACTGGAAATCCACCTTCTATAACATTGCTCTGGTTCTTATAAATAAAAATAAAATATTATTGTATAAAGGACCTTTGTAATTCATCATGAAAGAATACTTAAAGTAGGAAGTTGACATTAAAAATAAACTATTCTAAACAGTTTTACCCATTGCTTCTTTGGGAATTACATGACATAGCATTGAGCAATAGCTTATCAAAATTGTTTTACCCGCACTAGCAGAAAACTATGTATACTGAAACATTTTTTCTCTTGTGCCCAAAAACTTCACAAGTTCAAATTTTCTATAGTTGTACAGGAATTTAATTCAAACAATTTTTGATAATTATGTATAATAGTGTTCACTTAAATTTGCTTACATAAATGTTCAGTGAAATTAAAAAAGATTTTAAAAGGCAGTAGTCATTGAACAGCTTCCTTATAAATAATTGTGAATAATATCATCTTTATGGAAGAGATCTCACTGTTCGATACTGATGCTACAAATGTTACATGAATTATATTATAAACTTTGAGTTGAAAATTATGAAGTGTAACCATCTTTATTACCTTAATTTGTTTTCATACTTCTTAAAATAGTTTTAACCCAATGCATTTTATCATAAAATTGATATCATTATTAAAGGGAGTGTCACTAATAAGAAAATGAAAGGGGAATCAGCAGATGAGAAATAGATGTATCAAATCACAGATAGGATAAAATACATATTGAGAATATATACTGACTTGTATCTCGAATATATACAAAGACTTCAAAAGCCAGCATACAACCCCATACATAAATTCAGAAACTATCTCATCATATATTTCACCAAAATAAGAATAATGAATTCTTATCATAACATAAGTGGATGTCAAATTAACTATGATTCCTAAATAAAGACAGGCAAAAATAGTTTTATGTAAACATTTAGATTGACCTATTGGAAATATAATTTAATTTGTTATGGCTGAAATTGCCTTGATGTTTATTAAAAACAAATTACATAGAGGTTAATGAACATTTTAGCAGAGAATGTATATCATCAATATTTGATTATGATAATGATCTGCCAGCCATATACCTACATGTAAACCAATTAGCTGAAACAAGTAAATGATTTACATTTTTGTTTTATATTGGGTATAGCCCAATAAATGTAAAAATATTTTTAAAATGAGTATGTATATTGCAAGTTCTATCTTTGTGGGAATTTTCAGGATTTAAAATATATGTTTTGGAAATGTTGATTGAAATAAGGTCAAAAATTATTTTAAGTGTGCTGCTTTTGTGAGTTATCTACCACTCTGAATAGTAAATGTTTAGGCAGATGGTTATTCTTCATAGAAAATATTCCAAACTAATTGTGAAAACTTTTATTCATGAAGTAATAAACTTAATATGTAGATATAAACTGAAATAAAATCTAGCTCGTTATTTATGTTTTTATTTCTGACATTAATTTTATTACAGTTCATTAACTGTCACTTAAACCTACCCAGATTAAGATACTGTTTTTCAACAAAACATATATTCAGAAAGCGATAGCAGACTAAATTAGGTAACCACCACAGGCTGATCCAGGAATTCCATCCAAACCATCAAGTACATGGTGCTGTGAGGTTACAGGAAAACCATGGAAAGTGTGAGACAGAATTTGAACAAGGTAGGAATTTAAGTGATTACAAATAGGGAAGAAAGAAGTAAAATTATCCCTATTTACAGATGATTTAATTCTTTAGCAAAAATCTGCATCAGAATTCTTTCAGTGCTTATAAATTAATTCAATAAAGAGGCAGGATATAAAATTAATACATGAAATCAATTGCATCCCTGCATGCTAATAAACAATATGCTAAGAAAAAAAATCAAGAAATAATTTCAGTCATGATAGCTTTGAATTATGTACCTTAGAGTTAACCTACCCAGGAAGTCGAAGTCATTTAAACTAAAACTTACAGAACTCTGAAGAACAAAACTGAAGCTGACTTTAGAAAATGGAAAAACTAAACTAAAAGAAAATTGAAATGAATTGTCACATTATTAAAATGACCATATTACCAATAATTGTGTGTAGATTCAGTGCAAACACTATTAAAATACTAACATTGATTTTAGCAGCACTAGATAAAAGATATTAAATTTCATTTGGGAACAGAAAATAATCCTGAATTTAATCTGGGATGGAAAAAACAAAGGACAGCTAAATCTCAAGATAAAAGACCAAGGCTGAAGGCATCACTATGCTGAAATTAAAGCTATACTGCAGAGTCAATACAATGGTAACAAGTATTACATGGAACTAGCATGAAAACAGAAATGGAGACGAGTGGAGTAGGAGAGAAGACAGAGAAATAAACCCAAAGGGCCATAGCTGTTTGATTTTCAACAAAAGTGCTACAACACATGCTAGACAAAAGACAATGTCTGAAAGAAGAATCTACTAATAGAATTTTTAGGGTCTCCTATGTAAGTAGTCACATCATCTGCAAATACTTTCCTATTCATAGCACACTTACTTCCTGATGTAAACTGCCTGGCCTGGCTAAATTTTAAGCACTATATTGAACAGGTGTGTGGAAAATGCATACACTCTTCTCCTTCCCAATTGTAGGTGAAAATTTCATTGTGGGGTTACAATGTATGGCTTTTATCAGTTTGAGGTAAAATATTTCTGCAGCTTCAAGGATTTTAGTTATTAACATATGTTGAATTTTGGTGAAAGTTTTGTTCTGCATCACTGAGATGCTCACTTGTATATACATGCATGTGTATACATATCTGAATTATGTATATATTATTTAAAACATATTTTATGTACTTGACCATGTATATATAATACATATATTTATATGTATATAAGTATAAATTCTATATAGCCCAATTAAAAGCATTGATTTTACTTTGTGCTATGACTTTTGCCTTTGTTATTAAAAGTTTGGTGATTGTTATTCAAGAATTTTTACTTTTAACTGCTATTCATAAGAAGATTTTGACATTGGGAAACTTTTTAGGAAATTCAGTAATTATAAGACTTTGGCCATAATATATTAGGAAATTCAGTAATTATAAGACTTTGGCCATAATATTTCCAAAACTATATATGTGGGTCAAAAATACAATTTAATTTATAAATTTCAATTCTTATACTCTAAATAGTAACCAAAGTGTACATAGTAACCATAGGTAAAGTTCACATTACACTTCAAAGAAAACCCCTAATTAAACTATCAGTTGGGCCATACTTACTTTGAATACCCTGGAGAATTCTTCCTTATCCCCTCTACCTTCTGGTGGAGTCTGACATCCCTTGGTCCTTGGCAATATACTATATCTCCAGTCTTTGCAAGACATTCTTTTAGTATCCTTGTATCCCATATTCCTACCTTTTCCTTTAAAGACATGTATATTTGGATCGAGGGCACACTTTAAATTCAGGGTGATCTTATTCTGAGATTCTTATTTATGTCTCCAAACACTGTCTTTTTTTCCAAACTGAGATCATATTCACAGGTTCCTTGGATGGAGAGGATATACCTCTCTGGGAGTCACTATTAAAGATGCTACTCATACCAGCTTTTCTGAAAGTAACTACTATGCAGAGTTCCTGAGATATTTTCAAGAAAAATATTTAATTGATTAAAGAAATAGCTTCCTAAAGATTTGCTTCACGTTCTGTCTTCTCATATTCTGTCCCCTCCTCTGTCTCTTTCTCTTCATCCTTTCTCTTACCATTTCTCATTTCTCCAAACACACACACACACACACACACACACACACACACACACACACACAATTCCAGTGTATTATTTTATATAGTATATTATGTTATTATTGTATCATTTTAATTCCATTTATTTAGCTGTATGTCACATATATCAGTAACTTTTTAAAAATAACTTTACTAATATCTCTGGAAATATAATTTACGTGTGCAGCTACAAAACTGGAATAGCAAGAAAATCTTATGCCAAGCTAGAATGATGACAAAAGTTCTGAAATTTGAGTAACATCTAATTTTTAATTAGTTATTTCTTTTTATGTTTACAATAAAATTTAAAGTATAAGCATAGGCATTTATAGCTCCTATTGATATGAGAAGACATTGCAATTAACAAGATTGCAGTTTTAGTAAGATCAAATGGCAGGTAGGACACAGGTAAGCAGGAGGACCATGCATGTGACTTCATACTCTAATTTCATCAGTTGCAAACGTACTTTGAAGATCACTTCATACACCAAATCGTTCCCAACTTACAAGTCATCCTATAGTCATCCTGGTTTGATCTCTGTTGGGTCAACCCATTACTACTTTATAGATCACCTTTTCTTTGAAAAATGACTTCATCCTATCGTACATCCTCAGATGTACATCCTCTGCCTGCCATTTGGAATAGATGCATTCTCTAAGTTTAAAATGTGTTTTATAAAATTGATGGCTTTCCAAACATAAGTGTTCCTATAAGATACTTTATGCTTGATACTAAGACAAGATGTGATTCCAATAGATAGGAGAATTTCCAACCAATGAAAAGAAGAAATATTAGGGAAGGACAGTTTCTTTTTTTAACATAGCAAACAACAATATCATTGATACACATTTCTATAGTAACTTTTTTCTTTAAAATTATTTTCTTAATAAAAAGTTTTTGGTATGTAATGCAAATGTTTCTTCACAGGTCTTGGCAAATGTCATTTAGATAGAACAAATATCACTTTATTTCATATTTTGAAGGACATTTAGTGACATGGATACAGCAAGCTATTTTTAACTGTTCACTATTAAAATTTTAACTAAAAGAGTATAGTTCAAATTTAAAATAAGACCTATAGCTACTTACAAGACTACACGCTTTGAAAAGTTTAGAAGATCGGATGATTTTTATTTTAGACACTAAGCTATTAAAATAATAGTAGCATATGTGATTTGGGTAGAGAGTGCACACAAGAGAGATAGAGACAGAAAGACAGAGACAAATAAATTTCTTCTTTACTATAAATAATACTTCAAGATATATGTCAGTCATTTCAATTTTCTAGAAATATTATGATATATTGCACATTACATTTAACCTCAGCCTTTCAGATATAATTCATCAAATGATGACAAAGTCTCAGTTTTGTTTTGTTTTGTTTTGTTTTGTGAAACAGAGTATATAGCCCAGAACTTGTTACATAGTCCAGTGGTGTCACTGTGGCTTATTTCAATTATCTTGCCTCAGCCTCCTCAGTGCTGGTGTTAGAGGAATGTACCATTATGCCCATCTCAGTCTCACATGTGAAATAAAAATATTATTACTATATCAGAAAACTACTCAATTTTTTTCCTAAATGGCTCCTTTACTTCATTTTATCAAGATATTTTACTGAGATTGATATTATTGAAAGATAGTTACACACCAAATAAAATTATCAGAATAATTTTAAATTTAAATACATATTAAGTTACTGTGATCATTAATCATGATATATGGACTTGAATGGATTATCAGCTCCACATAAAAATGTAAACATTATGTGCTGCAACTATGTACTAATAAAAATATAAAAATAAACATCTAGGGATTTGTAAAACAGTTTTTGTAGTGTCCGTGGATGTTTGATGTAAAGGACAGCAAGCTGGGGGGAGCAGATCCACCTTGGATGTGATTGGCATCAACCAATAGGATTGTAGCTTGAAGAGAATAAAAAGGGAAAGAAAAAGGAATTGGTCCCATTTTGGAAAACATACTGACTTTGTCTTAACTTTGGATATGATCTGTAGTGTCTTCACCTCTCAATGTAAATTCACACCTGTGACTCTAGACTGAACTTCCAGGGCTCTAGGTTTGGGATGGTGCTGTGTTATTAATATTTCTTTTTCTGGCACTTTCATCCTCTTGGACTTCAGAGATATTGGACCTTCCAGCTCTCCATGGTACAGATGGTTATTGTGAATTTTCTGCTTCTGATCTTTCAAGCCTACTTGATAAATCTCTATTCTGTTCCTCTAGAGAACTTTAACTAATACACTTAAATATTATTATTCTAAAGAAATGTAACAAAATAGGATTTGGTAAATTAATTTAGTAAATTGAATCAAATCAAGGTATACACATGCGAAGGTTGTCAGAATGTCACATTCTTAATTATTCAGAAATTAGTTATTAATCTTCAGCTAAAGTAAATTGAATTGCAAAATGTAAAGAATACTTTCCTTGACCAAATAATTGTATTGATGTTTTATACAGTCCATTCAAAAATAAACTTCCTAACCTTGGCACGTATGAAAGCAAGTGCATATATAAGTTATATAGCAATGATTCAGTTAATAAGGTAGAGACTGTAAAATCTGAAAATAATGCTGTGTTTATTCAATAGATATTGGCATGAAATAGCACACTACACTAAAATATAATGTACTCCTTTAAAGTCACAGTTCAGAGTTCGATGCCTCGGTCCTTCTCTGAGTTTTCCTTAAAGTTTAACTAACTTCTGCCACTTTGTGGTGAAACCACACGTATCTACTTTAAGTGGATGTTCTCAGTTTTGTTCTTAGAGTCCTAAGGTCCTTAAGATGATACGAAAATGCAACCTGAACTTTTTAAGCTTTTATAAGTATAGTTATTTTGTTGAGTTACATAACTGTGGGAGACAGGGTATTTAGGGCTTAAACTATAAAAACAGGCTTTTATAGGCATTTTTCTGACCATAATTGGAATTCGCTGTTTTACACAACTTGCTGGTGCTCTAGGAGTGTAACCGAAGCAAACTTTGGTGGAACAATCTCTTCTACATGTTTGTAATTGACATAATGATAACATTTTTTTTCCCATAAGAAGCGGAATGAAGTTGCAGACAGCTTCATAACCTTTTTTTTTTTTCTCAGAAACCTTAAGGAAATAAAGACAACGTACAGAGCATAAGCTATATACTTACATACAGATAAGAAGAAAATTGATGGCACATTTATATATAAAAATAAAGCATGCGTACTGCTGAATTATGCCCCACAATCATTCTTGCTTTGAGAGTGGTGCCAACATACTGTAATCTCAACTACTTAACAGCCTAAATCAGGAGGGTTTCAAGTTCCAGGCCAATCTGGATTGGTTCAAAATTAAACAAATTAAGAGCATTTGATACTCTGCTGTATGGTCCTATCTCTGCTAGTATAAAAAAGAAAGGAAAGGGCTAGGGATTTAGCTTAGTGGCATAGCGAGAAAAAAAATAGCTTTTATACAAACTCAAGACCTGGTGCCTACCAGGCAGGCACTTATGCTGCTGAGCTAAATCTCCAGCCCCCTGATTTATATCTTTGGTAAATTTGTCAGTCATGCTTTGTTGATTTTGGTCAGATCTTATTTGATTCTTCTTTAAACACACTGGCCAGTTTGTCAGTTCCACTCCCATTTTAGGAGCTTACAAAGTTTCTTTGCTTCCATTTTAACCATTTGTGCAGATTAGCTATTTGGTGGGTTTTTTTTTTTTTTTTCCTCTCCAGGAGTCTCCCTTGTGTCACCTTGGAAAAATTGAGAGTCAGTAAGTTTGTGATCTCAGAAATTCATATGGTTACAATCTACTCATGAGTATGGGCATACTGGGAAGTGGAATCTTTGGAGGTTATACGTTAATGTGAAGTTATAAAAGTGGTGCCAAAGAGTGAGAGTGCTGTCCTCGTAGGAAAAGGAGGAGAGATCATAGCTCCTTCCTCCCCCATGTAAAGACACAGAAAGAAAGTTCTGTAAGGCAGGGTGAAGCCTCACCAGAATCAATCAGTATTTTGCCCCCAGAATCCCCAATATAGGGACAGCAAGAAACTGTCTCTTGTTTATATACCTTGCCTAAAAAATATTTGATATGATAGTCCAAACAGATTAAAATACTTCATATAAATTTCAAAGGAAATTGTGGAGAAAAAAATAAAGGGAAAGAGAGTATAGAAAGAACAATATGCCTGCTGGGCTTGTTGGTATAGACCTGTAATCCTAGCACTCAGGAGGCTTTGGCAGGAGAGTGTCTGAGAACTTGAGGCCAGTCAGTGCTACAAAGTGAGTTCAAGGACAGCCTGAACTGCATAGTGGGATCCTGTCTCATATAAACAATCCAACAAAAATCAAAAACAAACTGCATTCTTTTTATACTTAAAATTGAAGAATAAAAATCAAACTAATTTATATTAATCTTTGAGAAGAAAGGATAGGCAGCCAGACATATCCAGTTCTTTCATCTTGCTTAGAGGCATTAACTTTTAAATATGATCCAACCTGGAAAGAGAAGTGAATCTGCAAAGATGGTAACAGATGAAACACAGTATGTTTTGGGAGAATTTAAATGAGGGAAAAATATTGTGACATAAATAGTGCACCTGAAAAACAAAGTCTAACATGACTTTTATAAAGCAGGTGTTAAAGACTTGTGTGGTATAGAATGACAACTGGAAATTTTATGGTAAAGTTGGTGTACATTATCATTTAAGGTAAGTAAAATGCAATCATTAATAATTTTATTTTACACACAGGTATGATCACAATGTAACAGCTTGGTCAGAAGCATGGATGTGCTATTTAACTAGTTAGTTTTCATGACTAAAATTTTCTCTATAAGAAATATTTCAGCCCTTCCCAAATTATCCTTTCCAGATTACTACAAATTCTTTTTCTTAGGGACAACACAATGGCACTGTCAGATATTTTATCATGGCCACTTATTCCTGTTTCCACTGTAGGTTTTCTATATTTTTAACTCTGGCTTGAGAGAGTTATTCCACAAAAAAAAAAGTCTTCAGACTCACTTTCCTTTTAGTTTACAACCTAAGAATTCAAATTCTCAGGAGGGATATGTGGTTCAAGCTAGAGACTTGCCTTGAGGATATTTTTTCTCCATTAAAGTAAGAAAAATTATAATATATATAAAACTTCTTTCATGGTTTCTGCTTTAGGCCTGAGGTTCTTTTTGATCCTGGGAAGAATATATGATAATTTTCATAGTTGCTTCAAATTTTGACACTCCCATTTTACACATAAAGGAACTGAATTGAAAATGAATAAATTATTTAAATATACACTGGTTTTTAATTATAAATGTTTTGTTGAAAGTTACATAAAAAGTCACTAAATTTATTCTTATCATTGAGATAAAAGAGTATCTGTCAGAGGTTGAAGATTATATAAAGTTTCCAAGATAATTATGTTCAAAACATTTGCCATGTATTGAAAAAGTTTAATATACTTAATTAATGAATATGTTTAATATGCTTAATTAATGTTTAATTCACATTAGTGAATTATTTATATGAAGTATTTTTTTCTTTTGAGAATCAATATTTTACAATCACTCCATATCAAGTGAGTATTCTTCCAAACCACAGCTAATAAAATTATATTTCTCAATTACATAAAAGGTTCAAAGTCTATATCTTAATTTGCTTATCTTGCTTTAGTATTTTACATTTAAATACCGTAATATTTTCCTCAAAATACCATGTTTCTTTCATGAACCCTGTATATCATAGGCAAAAACTTTTGTTTGCAGAAATTTGGATGAATAATTATGATCTGATTAAAATGTAAAGTCTTCAGAGATTCTGTTAATCACACTCCTGTTGATTTTCTGTTTGTGCAAGTGAGTGAAATGTCTTTCATCATCCTATAACTGGGTAGCAATTCATTTTCACTGTGTGTAAAATGTACAAATTTAGAAGACAGGTCACATTTAGTGCCACATCATGGTCACCAAAATAATTACTTGGCAGTTTCCCTTTAGGATTCTTCTGTATAAAATTGCATAGATTCCCCGAGCCCAGCCATCGGCATGCAGAGGAGGAGTTGGGCGGATCCAGAGTGCCTGCAGAAGCCCCTTGCTTTGTCTGGAGGACTGAATACTTCTGCAAGCAGGGAGGGATCGCAGGTTCCTAAGGCACCTCGGCCTGTGGTGGGTGCCCAGCACAGTCTACCCAAATCTCAGACTGTTCCGGACCCCCCAGGCTTCTGGGTGCAGTGAAGTGGAGCAGTGGGTTAGAGGCCACTACAGACGCCTCCCTATCCCGGCTACACCTGGAGGTCTGCGGAGCTCACGACGGGTGGGCGGGCCTACACTATCCCCCCCCCTCCCCTCCCCCCCCCCCAGCCCAGCTGTGCCTAGCCATCGGCGTGCAGAGAAGGAGCTGGGCAGATCCCGAGTGCCTGCAGAAGCCCCTTCCTTTGTCTGGAGGACTGTGGATATCTCTGCAAGCAGGGAGGGATCACAGGCTCCTGACGCACTGCGGCCTGTGGTGAGTACCCTAACCCGGCTGCGATTGAAGAGCTGTGGATCTCCCAAGGGGCAGGTGGGTGCACAGTGTCCCTGAGGCCTAGCTTGCCTGGAACTGCAGAGTTCTGAACAAGCAGAGGAGGGCCATTGGTTCTGCAGGCCCAATGGCTTGGGGTAGAGTGGTGCCAGAGTCTCAGTAGCTGCAAACATAGAAGGGGATTTTCAACAGATCCTGAGGAAGCTTTCAAATAACACTTGAAACACAGAAATATAGGAAAATAACAAAACGAAAGACCAAATTACAACCTCAAACCTCCAGCCCATCTCAGGAAACCCTAGGAGGAATGTATTTAGAAGAAAATATATCCCATCCTCCTCATATATCAGATACAATAGCTACTGAAGTTGACAAGCAACTCCAGGAAGCCTTAAAAAAATTCAAAC